AGAAGCCGATGAGAACCAAAAACAGCGATGAGAATAAATTAGGAGGCACTAAGGGCAAGTAATGGAATGAAGAGCATGGTGGGGGCTGGGCAGGGTGGCTCGGCCAGCTGTTCGATGACTTTGGGAGACGGGATGCCAGGTGGATCACCTGAGTCAGGGTTCAAGAAAGCATGGCCAACCATGGGTGGAAAACGTTGCTTACTGAATCCAAAAATTAAGCATGGTCGATGGGTGTGCGGCCTGTAGTCCGCAGCTCACTCAGGAGGCTTGAGGCCAAGAACCACTTGAAGCACCGGGAGTGGAGGTGCAGGTGAGTGGAGATCAGCCACCACTGCACTCAGCCTGCGGACAGAGAAGACCTTGTCAAAAAAAAAAAAAAGAATGGTATATCGAGATTATGAAGCTGCTGTTCATGGTACATGGATACTGTTTTAAAGTTTAACTTTTTTCCTTTTTTTTGTTTAATTATTATTATTTTAATGTACATTTCTGTTCTCAAGCAGGATTTTTTTCTTTTTGGAGACAGGTCTTGCTTTGGTCATTCAGCTGAAGACAGTGGTTCTACTAGGCTCCTGCCTTAGCTTATGGGCTCAAGGCCGTTCTCCTGGCTCAGCTTCCAAAGCACTGGGATTATAGGTGGTGAGCCGGTGGTGGCCGGCAAATTAATAAGGTGTGTATATAAGTAGGATGCGTACATTCTAAAATAACAGTAGGCGTATCAGTTGGCTGGGCACAGTGGCTCATGCCTTGTATCCCGGCACTTTGGGAGGCAAGGCGAGGGGGATTACTTGAGGCCGGAAAGGTTTGGAGACGTCTGGGAAGATATAGTCACCCGTACTAAAAAAATTGAATAATTAAAATCACTTGGGGGTGTCACCTGTCGGTATCCCCGTCTATCTCAGGTGGCTGACAGGATGGGGCAGATCGCTAGAGCGAGGAGAACCGCTCAGGTTAGTGCTAAACCCTAGAAGAAACACTTATGCATACATCACTACCTCAAGCTGACCATTAAGATGGAGATGGTCAGAGTGACCCGTGCTATACCATAAAAGGAAGGTAGAAAAAGAAATGATAGGTTAGGGTGCCAATGGGTCTCATTCGGCCCTGTAATTCCAGCCACTTTGGAGAGCGCTAGTGATGCGAGCAGATCCCATAGAGGTCAGAGTTCAGCAAGATGCCAGCCTAGTAACACCAAACATGCGTGAAAACCCCCTTCTGCTACACAAATAATTTGTGCAATATTGTCCTAGTGGGTAGGTACGAGAACGCATCAGTAGTAGCCTCTGGTCCTCACCTAGTCAGGGGAAACGGCGGGAAAGGCTTGACGGCAGTGCCGGACTGATACCAGTTGAACCTGGGAGGCGGAAGTTGCAGTGAGCCAAGATTGTACCACTGCACTCCAATCTGGACGACAGAGTGAAACTATGTCTCAAAAAAATAAAATAAAATTTAAAAAAGCAGGCCGGGGCGTGGTGGGTCAAGCCTGTAATCCCAGCATTTGGGAGGCGAGACGGGCGGATACGAGCAGGAGGATCGAGGACCATCCTGGCTAACACGGTGAAACCCCCTCTCTACTAAAATACAAAATAAGCTGGGTGAGGGGTGGGCGCTGTAGTCCCGGCTACTCGGGAGCTGAGGCAGGGGAATGGCTAACCGGGAGGGAGCTTGCAGTGAGCTGAGATCCGGCCACTGGCACTCAGCTCCGGGGCGGACAGAAGTGGACCTGTCTCAAAAAAAAAAAAAAAAAAATTTAAAAAAGCATAATAAACCAGCAATAGTCATTTATTGTCATTATGAAACATTATGTAGTATATGTACAATAATGGTCTGCGGTATACTTTTGTGTGACTGGCAGTGCAGTAGGTTTATTTACAGTAGCATCACCACCAGCGTGCCACGATGTCACTAGGCAATAGGAATTTTTCAGCACCATTATAATCTTAAGGGATCACTGTTGTATATGTGGTCTGTTGTGAAGCAAAATGTCATCAGCTCATGACCATAATGGAATCATACAATATGTGGCCTTTTGCGTCTGCCTTCTTTCACTTAGCTTGATGTTTTCAGGGGTTATCCTTTGCATCAGTACTTTCTTTCTTTTTATGGCTGAATAATATCCCATTATGTAGCTAGGTCACATTTTGTGTACCCATTCCTTAGTTGTTGAGCTTAGGGGTTGCTTCAACTTTTTAGCTATTATGCATAATGCTGCTGTGAACATTTATGTACACTTTTTTTTGTTGTTTTTTTTTGAGATGGAGTCTCGCTTTGTCACCCAGGCTGGAGTGCACTGGCGCGATCTCGGCTCACTGCAAGCTCCACCTCCCGAGTTCACGCCATTCTCCTGCCTCAGCCTCCCGAGTTCACACCATTCTCCTGCCTCAGCCTCCCAAGTAGCTGGGACTACAGGTGCCTACCACCACACCCAGCTAATTTTTTTTGTATTTTTTTAGTAGAGATGACGTTTCACCGTGTTAGCCAGGATGGTCTCGATCTCCCGACCTTATGATCTGCCTGCCTTGGCCTCCCAAAGTGCTGGGATTACAGGTGTGAGCCACCGCGCCCAGCCTATGTACAAGTTTTTGGATGAACATATGTTATCATTTCTCCCAGGTATATAACTAGGGGGGAATTGCTGGGTCATGTGGTAACTATGTTCAGCTTTTCAAAAACTTGCCAAACTGTTTTCCAAAGCAGCTGTACTATTTTATATTCCCTCTAGCAGTGTGTGAGGGTTCCAGTTTTTCCATGTCCTTGACAACACTTGTTATTACCTGTCCTTTTGATTGTAAGACATCACAGTGGGTATGAAGTAGTATTTCATCGTGGTTTTGGTTTGTTTTTCTCTAATGACTAATGATGTTGAGTGTGTTTTCTTTTCTTTTTTTTTTTTTTTTTTTTTTTTTTTCCCGTAGAGACAGGGTCGTGTTCTGTTGCTCAGGCTGGAGTGCAGTGGTGCGATCTCAGCTCACTGCAACCTGCGCCTCCAGGGTCAAGCAATTCCCCTGCCTTAGCCTCCTGAATAGCCGGGATTACAGGCACGTGCCACCACGCCCAGCTAATTTCTTTTGTATTTTAGTAGAGATGGGGTTTCACCATGTTGCCCAGGCTGGTCTTGAACTCCTGAGCTCAGGTAATCTGCCCACCTCAGCCTCCCAAAGTGCTAGGATTACAGGTGTGAGCCACCGCGCCTGGCTGAGCATGTTTTTGTATGTTTTAGTTAGCTATTTGTATGTCTTCCTTAAAGAAACATCTATTCAGATCCTTTCCTATTTCTTTTTTTGTTTTTTGAGATGGAATCTCGCTCTGTCACCTAGGCTGGAGTACAGTGGTGCGATCTCAGCTCACTGCAACCTCCATCTTCTGGGCTCAGGTGATCCTCCCACCTTAGCCTCCTGAGTAACAGACTACGAGCTCCTGCCACCATGCCTGGCTAATTTTTGCATTTTTTGTAAAGATAGGATTTTACCGTGTTAGCTAGGCTGGTCTCAAATTCCTGAGCTCAAGCGATCCGCCCGTCTCAGTCTCCCAAAGTGCTGGGAGTGTGGGTGAGTTCTCCCACAGCTTCTACCCTGGAGTCCCCGGGCTTCAGGACCCTTCCGCATCCAGAGGTTGCAGTGAGCCGAGATTGCATCACTTCACTCCAACCTGGGCAACAGAGCAAGACTCCATCTCAAAAAAAAAAAGTTTTTAATGTATAAGCCTTACTTCTATTTTTAAATTTACTCCTAATTATTTTTATTCTTTTTGATACTGTAAATAGATATACATATTTTTGCCTTTTTCATTTTTCGCTTAGCAGTATATTTTAGAAATAATTTCATACTGATGAAGTCATATTACTTCATTACATTCCTGTATTCTTTTTTTTGGTGGCTTAGTCTTTCATTGTATAGACATACCACAGTTTAGTTAATCAGGTCTCTGTTGTCAGCCTTTAGATTATTTCGTGTCCTTGCTAGTACAAACATTACTATGGTGTTTAATCTTGTAAGTAGGTGATTTTATACCTGTGCAAAAGCCAGCAGGATAACTTCCTCAAAGTGTATTTACCCAGAGACTGCGTGCATTTGTCATTTTGGTTGTTAATGCCAAATCGTCCTCTGTAGTTCATACCAGTTTACTCTCCTATCAACCCAGTAAAGTGGTAAGGCTTCTGGGTTAGGCAGGGTGGCTCACGCCTGTAATCCCAGCACTTCGGGAGACCGAGGTGGGCGGATCACCTGAGGTCAGGGGTTTGAGACCAGCCTGGCCAACATGGTGAAACCCTGTCTCTACTAAAAAAATACAAAAATTAGCCGGGCATGACAGCAGGCGCCTGTAATCCTAGCTACTTAGGAGGCTGAGACAGGAGAATCGCTTGAACCCAGGAGGTGGGGGTTGCAGTGAGCCGAGATCACGCCACTGTGCTTCAGCCTGGGCAACAGAGCAAGACTCCATCTCAAAAAAAAAAAAAGGGGCCGGGCGCGGTGGCTCAAGCCTGTAATCCCAGCACTTTGGGAGGCCGAGACAGGCGGATCACGAGGTCAGGAGATCGAGACCATCCTGGTTAACATGGTGAAACCCCGTCTCTACTAAAAAATACAAAAAACTAGCCGGGCGAGGTGGCGGGCGCCCGTAGTCCCAGCTACTCGGGAGGCTGAGGCAGGAGAATGGCGTGAACCCGGGAGGCGGAGCTTGCAGTGAGCTGAGATCCGGCCACTGCACTCCAGCCTGGGTGACACAGCCAGACTCCGTCTCAAAAAAAAAAAAAAAAAAAAAAAAAGTGTCAGGATTCTCCTCCCCTAACATCAGCTTCCTCTGTCCTCACGCTGCCTTGCTTTCGAGGCTTCTTCTCATGGCTTTCCCGGTGTTCTGATTCTGCCTTCCCTTCTTACAGGCATGGAAGTTGTAAAGGTTGGAGGTCCCGTCTACAGGATTGGAGTTGGAGGTGGAGCTGCTTCGTCTGTGCAGGTGAGTGGGAATTGCTAAAGGTGCAGAATCCTTGATATAACCGGGCCCCAGGCATAGCAGCGCGTACAGGAGCTTCCAGCCTTGCTGAACTAAGCGATGCCATATATGCCCCCAGGTGCAGGGAGATAACACCAGTGACCTGGACTTCGGGGCTGTGCAGCGAGGAGACCCGGAGATGGAACAGAAGATGAACCGTGTGATCAGGGCTTGTGTGGAGGCCCCCAAGGGAAACCCCATCTGTAGCCTTCACGATCAGGGCGCTGGTGGCAATGGTGAGGAAAGGAATTAGAACGAGAGACTGAGCCTTCCTGGTATCCTGCCAGGTTTGGTTTAGGGAGAGGTATCAGGAATCTCCAACCAACCACCCAGCTCTGGGTCCCATTCTCCACGCTCTGTACATTCTAGACAGGTTCAGGGTTGGAAGGGTGGAAGCCGCTGCCGTGGGATGAGGGTGAGGCAGCAGTTGACACAGGAACACACAGAATTAGGGGCTCCTTTGGAGGCCAGGGACGGCCCTTTGTTGCCTGACCACCACTAGGTCACTACTTCTCCTTGCAACCCTCTCACCAGGCAACGTCCTAAAGGAGCTGAGTGACCCAGCTGGAGCCATCATTTACACCAGCCGCTTCCAGGTGCGTCTCATCCCCTGAAGTCTGGCATTTCCCCACCCCTGCCAGCCCCAGCCCACGCCCACCCATCTCTCTCTTGCAACAACATGAGACGTGGCAGTGCCCACTGGCCCTTCTCTTTCCTCCCCGCCATGGCTGTGCAGCTCGGGGACCCGACCCTGAATGCCCTGGAAATCTGGGGGGCCGAGTACCAGGAATCAAATGCACTTCTCCTGAGGTCCCCCGACCGGAACTTCCTGACTCGTGTCAGTGCCCGTGAACGTTGCTCGGCGTGCTTCGTGGGCACCATCACTGGAGACCGGAGAGTGAGTTGGCCCAGGGAGTTGGGAGCAGACGCTGGGGCAGACATGAGCCACCCGGGTATGGGCTAGAGGGAGAGCTGTCAAGGGAGAGGGACGAGAGGAAGATGGGAGGTGGTGGCAAACAAGCTTTGGGGAATATAGGAGCCAAGGAAGGGCAGGGACTCAATACGGACACCAAACAAGGAGTGGAAAGCACATTTGTGCCCTGATTTCTAGGAATATTCCCTGCTGGTGGTCACAGTTTCACCCCCCTGGGTGGGGTCCCTGGGGTCTATAGATAGTGCTGGTGGACGATCGGGAGTGTCCTGTCAGAAGAAATGGCCAGGGGGATGCCCCCCCGACACCCCCGCCAACCCCTGTGGACCTGGAGCTCGAATGGGTGCTGGGCAAGATGCCTCGGAAGGTATGTGGGGTTGGGGGGATGGGTTTCTCCTGTAGTCCGCTCCACACCACCCTTTACCCCACATGCACTTTGTCACCTGTGTGCCCGGCCCGCCCCAGGTGCTCACACTCCCTGTCGCTGTCTGTGTTGCAGGAGTTCTTCCTCCAGAGGAAGCCGCCTGTGCTGCAGCCTCTGGCCTTGCCCCCAGGGCTGAGCGTGCGCCAGGCTCTGGAGAGGGTTCTGAGGCTGCCCGCTGTGGCCAGCAAGCGCTACCTCACCAATAAGGTCCTCCCTGCACCCCTCCTCTGCCCCCTGCCTGCTTCCTCCGTGCACCCTCCTCTGCCCTCCCACCCTTAGAGACTGCTGTGGGAGTTTTTGCCTGGCCCTGGGGGGAAGCAACAGGGGCAGGGCAGCCACCCTGACGGCCTGGTCTCCCTGCTACCCACCTTCTGAGTAGAGCTGTTGTCTGCACTGGGGGAAAGCCAGGCCTCCCACCGCCCTGGGTCCCTTGGGGGCAGGTGCAGGAGCACAGGCTGTCCCTGTCCTTTGCTCTCTTGCTAACCCCACCTGGTTCCACAGGTGGACCGCTCCGTGGGCGGCCTGGTGGCCCAGCAGCAGTGTGTGGGGCCCCTGCAGACTCCTCTGGCAGATGTAGCAGTTGTGGCACTGAGCCATGAGGAGCTCGTAGGGGCTGCCACAGCCTTGGGAGAGCAGCCAGTCAAGAGCCTGCTGGACCCCAAGGTCGCCGCCCGGCTGGCCGTGGCTGAAGCCCTCACCAACTTGGTGTTTGCTCTGGTCACAGACCTCCGGGTGAGTTCTCCCATAGCTTCTACCCTGGAGCCCCCAGGCTTTAGGACCCTCCGGCATCCATCTGTAGCCCTTCATTTCATGTTGCAGCCTCCTAGTCCCCCTGCACCCCTGTCTTCTCCACATCTCTCTTCCACTCTAATGCTGTGCCTCTACCACCCCAGGATGTGAAGTGTAGCGGGAACTGGATGTGGGCAGCCAAGCTCCCAGGGGAGGGCGCAGCTTTGGCGGACGCCTGTGAGGCTATGGTGGCAGTGATGGCAGCCCTGGGTGTGGCAGTGGACGGTGGCAAGGACTCCCTCAGCATGGCTGCTCGGGTTGGCACTGAGACCGTGCGGGCTCCTGGTGAGGTGTGGGGGCCCCAGGGAGGGGAGGAGGAACTACGGGGCTGGGTTGGCAACTCATTCCTTTGGACTCCTCCTTGCTCTACAGGGTCACTGGTCATCTCAGCCTATGCCGTCTGCCTAGACATCACAGCCACCCTGACCCCAGACCTCAAGCATCCTGAAGGGAGAGGTATGGTCGTGGCCCCATCCCACCGCCTTGTGTGTTCTTTGCTGGGCCACCATCTCAACACTGGGCTGTGGTGTTTTCTGGGACTGATTGTCTGGGCGTCTCACCACATGCTGGGAACAGCAGTGCTGTGAGCACCTCAGGGACGGGTCCTCCACCTCAGGGACGGATCCTCCTCCCCTCACCCCTCCCTGTCTCCCCAGGCCATCTGCTTTATGTGCCTTTGAGCCCTGGGCAGCACCGGCTGGGGGGCACGGCTCTGGCCCAGTGCTTCTCCCAGCTCGGGGAGCAGCCTCCAGACCTGGACGTTCCTGAGAACTTGGTGCGTGCCTTCAGCATCACCCAGGGGCTGCTGAAAGGTAAGTGAAGCCCACTGGGGAGGTGGCGCACGGGGTGCCAGGCGTGCAGCAGGCCTTCACCAGCTGGGCAGTGGGGCAAGAGGAACTCCAGTGGACAGTGTACCTCAGATCCCCCGACATTCTCACACACACTCTTGATGGACTGACTCTGGAAGGTGGAGGGGGGCTGTCAGGTTTGGGCCCCGAGGTTGCTGAGCTTTCTTCTTCTTCCTCCAGACCGCCTCCTCTGCTCAGGCCACGATGTCAGCGATGGAGGCCTCGTCACATGCCTGCTGGAGATGGCCTTTGCTGGAAATTGTGGGCTACAGGTGGATGTGCCTGTCGCTGGGGTTGATGGTAAGGAACCTGGGGTCTAGTCTCAGGCCTGGGCTGCCTTCTCCACCCTGCAGACCCCATCTCCAATATATTAAAGAGTGGAGTGCCCTCCAATCCCCTTTCCCTGAGTCTTCCCCGACTAGCTTTTCTGTGCTGTGTCTCTGACAGCTGAACTGGATGGAACTGGCTGGCACCCGCCATGTTCCTGACTGCATCTCTCTGAGACTTCCCATCCCTGAGATGTCCATGATGAAACATCCTCAGTCCCACCCTCTCAGCCCTCATCCTCTCTGATCCCCACCCTAACTCCCTGGCTGTGTCCCTCTGACCCCCGCCCCGGCCCTTCCTGCATTCCCCTGATCCCCGCCCCAACTTCCTCAGCCCTTCTTGCATCCCCCTAACTCCCCCTGTTGCTCTCCCAGTCCTGTCTGTGCTGTTCGCTGAGGAGCCAGGCCTGGTGCTGGAGGTGCAGGAGCCAGACCTGGCCCAGGTGCTGAAGCGTTACCGGGATGCTGGCCTCCACTGCCTGGAGCTGGGCCACACAGGCGAGGCCGGGCCCCACGCCACGGTGAGGAAGTGAGGGAGAGAGCAGTGTGCAGTGGGCAGTCAGAGTGGGGCGGCCATGGTCCATCCCTCTCCCACTGTGGAGGGGCCATCCTTTCTCCTAGCCCAGGGAGATTTGTTCCTCTTCCTAGGTCCGGGTGTCAGTGAACGGGGCTGTGGTTCTGGAGGAGCCTGTTGGGGAGCTGCGAGCCCTCTGGGAGGAGACGAGTTTCCAGCTGGACCGGCTGCAGGCAGAGCCTCGCTGTGTGGCAGAGGAGGAACGGGGCCTGAGGGAGCGGATGGGGCCCAGTTATTGCCTGCCCCCCACCTTTCCCAAAGCCTCCGTGCCCCGTGAGCCTGGTGAGGGAGTGTGTGCAGAGGCTTTGCGTCCTGGGGGCACTGAGCCCGGATGCCTGGGCCTGCCCTGGTAAAGGTGTCTGGGGAGTTGGGGTGGGGAAGTAACTTTCTGGCCCAAAGACAATTATTCTTCCCCAAGGTGGTCCCAGCCCCCGAGTCGCCATCTTGCGAGAGGAGGGCAGTAATGGAGACCGGGAGATGGCCGATGCCTTCCACTTGGCTGGGTTTGAGGTGAGCAGGGTAGGGGGCAGCTGGGGGTGGTTATCCAGCCTCAGCTGCATGTCCTCCCACCCACACTCCCCCTCCCCATCTTCGCAGGTATGGGACGTGACCATGCAGGACCTCTGCTCTGGGGCAATTGGGCTGGACACTTTCCGCGGCGTGGCCTTCGTGGGCGGCTTCAGCTATGCAGATGTCCTGGGCTCTGCCAAAGGTCAGTGTGCAGCCTTCTGCCCACTCCCTTCCCCTGCATTCCTGAAGAGGTACCTTTAGCCCCGTCTTCCTGGGCTGGGGATTGGCCTCTCACTCCACCAAGCTAGGTGAGAGTGGGCACGTTCGTTCCGGGCCACATGCCAACAGAATGCTGGTAGTAAATTTTTAATTTTTTCATTAAAAAGCTACTTGGGAGGCTGAGGCAGGAGAATCGCTTTAACCCAGGAGGCAGAGGTTGTAGTGAACCGAGATCATGCCACTGCACTCCAGCCTGGGAAACAGAGCGAGATTCCCTCTCAAAAAAAAAAAAAGAAGAAGTAGGAAAGGAAGGAGGGAGGGAGGGAGGGAAAAGGAAGAAAGAAAGGAAACAGAAGAGCAGCTATGCCCCTTCATTCCCAGTTCCCTTTTCTGAGGTCCTCCACGTCTCACCCTGACTTCCCTATTCCCTGGCTAGGGTGGGCAGCTGCCGTGACCTTTCATCCCCTGGCCGGGGGTGAGCTGAGGCGCTTCCGGAAGCGACCAGACACCTTCAGCCTGGGCGTGTGTAATGGCTGTCAGCTGCTGGCTCTGCTGGGCTGGGTAGGAGGCGACCCCAATGAGGATGCCGTGGAGATGGGCCCTGACTCCCAGCCAGGCCTTCTGCTACGCCACAACCTGTCTGGGCGCTATGAGTCTCGCTGGGCCAGCGTGCGTGTGGGGCCTGGGCCAGCCCTGATGCTTCGAGGGATGGAGGGCGCCGTGCTGCCCGTGTGGAGTGCGCACGGGGAAGGTCAGGCCTGAGGAAGGCTGGGGCAGGGCCGGAGGGTTGGGGGCGAGGGTGGGCGTGAAGGACCTTGACTCTCACTTCCCTCCTCCTTCCGTCCCAGGTTACGTGGCATTTTCTTCTCCGGAACTCCAAGCTCAGATTGAGGCCAGGGGCTTGGCTCCACTGCACTGGGCAGATGATGACGGGAACCCCACAGAGCAGTACCCTCTGAATCCCAATGGGTCCCCAGGGGGCGTGGCTGGCATCTGCTCCCGTGATGGCCGCCACCTGGCTCTCATGCCTCACCCTGAGCGGGCCGTGAGGCCTTGGCAGTGGGCGTGGCGACCCCCTCCATTTGATACTCTGACCACCTCCCCCTGGCTCCAGCTCTTTATCAATGCCCGAAACTGGACCCTGGAAGGGAGCTGTTGACTGGCCACAGGGGCTCACCTAGGTCCCATGGTTTTTCCCGTGAGTGTGTGCTGCCCTCTCCCCCATGACTTTCAGGAGCACCCCATGTTATTTCCAAAAGCATCTTGGACAGACAAGGACCAAAATACAAAATCTCAGCGGACTCAATGATCTGCCTGCTGATGTTCCTCCGCGGCTGTGTCTATTTTCAGTTCTGCTCTAACATGGCATTCCCTTTCTCAGCCCAGGAAACAGCATGTGGTTCAGAGAAAAGAGTGACAAGGAAAAGTTAGGACTCCTGAGGTCGGAGCAGGAGCTTCTGTTGCCCGCTTCACAACACCCAGTGATCACCGGCATGCATTTGCCTCCTTGGCTCTGAGGGATGTTTTGCGCTCCCTTTTCTCATTATTGGGGTTTAGGAGGTACAGACAAATTCAGCAGTAGTGTGCAGATCAGCCCCTCACCACCTCATTGTTCTCATCTGGAACTGAAACTTTCTGGATTTCTCTTGTGCTACACTGTACTGAATGGAAGGAATTGTTGCTTGTGGAAGTTTCTCAGCGTTTCTGGCTGTCTCAGGGTTGGCCTCAGAACCCAGCATTCCTGATATTTGCTTCTAAATTAGCAGCTCTTTTTATTTTATTTTTTGAGACAGTCTCACTCTGTCACCCAGGCTGGAGTACAGTGGTGTGATCTCGGCTCACTGCAACCTCTGCCTCCCGGGTTCAAGCGATTTTCCTGCCTCAGCCTCCCGAGTAGCTGGGAGTACAGATGCCCACCACCACACCCAGCTAATTTTTGTATTTTTAGTAGAGACAGGGTTTCACAATGTATCCCAGGCTGGTCTCAAACTCCTAACCTCAAGTGATCCACCTGCCTTGGCCTCCCAAAGTGCTGGGATTACAGGTGGGAACCTACAATCCTGTACGTGGCCCAGCAGCTCTCTTTCTGATAGATGTGGTTGATGCTCTCATCCCTAGATCCTAACCCTTTAGTATGCTGGAATTCTACTCTTCACTTATTCCATTAACTATTGTTGATTAGTTATTATTTCAAAGCAGTGTCACTGGCCTCAGGGAGTTTATGTGTAATAGAATTAAAAACAATAGCTGTGTATAACACTTACCTCAAGCCATGCATGTGTGAGGCATTTTGTATGCTGGAATTCTACTCTTCACTTATTCTATTAACTATTGTTGATTAGTTATTATTTCAAAGCACTGTCACTGGCCTCAGGGAGTTTATGTGTAATAGAATTAAAAACAATTGCTGTGTATAACACCTCAATCCACGCATGTGTGACGCATTTTGTATGTATCTGAATTAATTCTTACTAAAGTACTTGATAGCCCCTCCCCACCTTTTTAATGAAGGATGAATGAAGGTTGACTGCATTGCTTGGGGTCCACACATAGTGAAGGGGGCTGGGCTCACCAGGACTACATCTGCTTCCCACCATCCTGCAGTCTCACTTCCTGGAGGCAGTGTGTCGAGACTTCCTGCTGGCAGCTGTCTTTGCTTCCTTTGCTGTCCGTTGCTTCCTTTGCTCACAGGACTGTGGATAGAGTTCCTCGTGACTGTTGTGTTGTACATCTCAAGTCAGTTGGCTCCCTAGAATGTTCAACATCTTGATAAAAGGAGTTTCCCTGAGAATGGAGACTATAATCCCAGACCCCTGAGGGCATGAGGGCTAGGAGAGCTTGGGTGGGGAGACTGAGCACTTCTGTGTGCTCCTGGTAGAGCAGCCACCCTAAGAAGAAACTGATGATAATGAAACAATGGTAAATGATGGCTATGGGGAAAACAACTGTTTCAGAGATTTTCCTCATTGCTTTGCAAAGTGACCTACCCTGAGCAGTATGGGACTCCTCCAGATCATTTTTTTTTTTTAAATCATTTCATTGCTTGAGTACACACACAAATTTATGCGACCAGGGCAGAGGCTGTAGATGATTTATATTTCCAATTGGGAGGGAGGACTCACTTGGTCTTATAATAATCAAGCCAAACGGTGAATCCGGCTATCAGAATCAGACGGAATTTAGCATCCTTATCCTTTCTGTTCCTCTCAAGATGCTTTCGAACAGCAACTGCTTTCTTAATTAAATGGTAGAGATCTTCAGGAAGATCAGGAGCAAGTCCCTTAGACTTAAGAATTCTTCAGATTTTATTGCCTGTCACAAAGCGTACTTGTGCAACACCATGTGAATCTCTCAGGATCACACCGATTTGTGAAGGAGCCAGGCCCTTCTTGGCCAGTTTATAAATCTGCTCCTTCACGTCGTCAGATGTCAGCTTCAACCAAGTAGGGACGCTGCGTCGATAGGGCAAGGCCGACTGGGACAGGCCCTTCCCGGGAGTATGCATGCGACCCATGATGGCGGCGGTCAGGCAGCGAAAGGAGAGTGAGGGTCCGGATCATTTTTGACATTCGAATGTTCTTTCCTGACACTTGGAAAGGATGTATGTATGTCTTTCAGATTTATAGTATCAAACGTACAATTTGGGGGCTGGTACCAAGGCTTAGATACCAGGTTTATTAAGGGCTTGATGCAAAAGTCAAAGGATGGCATGCAAGGTAACCTGGTTGACTGTGATAGGTAAACTTGTGGATTTTGAAGGGGGAGCAGTTTCTGGTTTGGGTCCCAATGGCCAAGTAAGACCCACCCTCCTCAGACACTATCAAGACCAAGTCCACTGGCTTTTCATCCGTGTTTTCATCCAGGAGCCATATAACCCTGTCCTTGATGACCCCCACCCAGCTCCATTCCCACCCACCCACTCCGCAGGGCCCTCTGGTGAACCCTCCAGGCTAGCTCTCTGCCCCCTCCTTGCCTTCATGGAAAACCAGCTATCCTCTGAGAGCCACTTCTGCAGCCCCTCCAAGTGGCGACTTTTCTTCTCAAACCTCAACCTCACGTATCTCATCTTCCCCAGGCTAGGGAGTCAGGGTCCTCGTACCACTGCCAGACTGTTCACCCAGTTCAAAGAAAACCCTGCCCATTGCAGGCTCATGCCATTCTACTACATCCCTTTCGCCCAATTCTTTGTGTTCTACTGACTTCTCTGGCGCTCCCTGTGGGAGAGGGTGCCAGTTCTTCAATAATTGATTCCTCTCTAGAAATAGAATGTTCCTGCCAGGTTCGGTGGCTCATGCCTGTAATTCCAACACTTTGGGAAGCCAAGGCTGGTGGATCACCTGAGTTTGAGACCAACCTGGCCAACATAGTGAAACCCTGTCTCTACTAAAAATACAAAAATTAGCTGGATGTGGTGGTGTGCCCCCATAATCCCAGCTACTTGGGAGGCTGAGGCAGGAGAATCGCTTGATCCCAGGAGGCAGAGGTTGCAGTGAGCCGAGATCACGCCACTGCACTTCAGCCTGGGCAACAGAGAGTCCCTCTCACAAAAAGAAAGGAAGGAAGGGAGGGAGGGAGGGAGGAAGGGAGGGAAGGAGAATGTTCCAGGGCCAGGCGCGGTGGCTCACGCCTGTAATCCCAACACTTTGGGAGGCCGAGGCTGGCAGATCATGAGGTCAGGAGATCGAGACCATCCTGGCTAACATGGTGAAACCCCGTCTCTACTGAAAGTACAAAAATAATTAGCCGGGCATGGTGGTGGCTCCTGTAGTCCCAGCCACTTGGGAGGCTAAGGCAGGAGAATGGCGTGAACCCCAGCGGTGGAGCTTGCAATGAGCCGAGATCGCGCCACTGCACTCCAGCCTGGGCGATAGGGCAAGACTCCGTCTAAAAATAAGAAAATTAAAAAAACAAAAACAAAAACAGAATGTTCCAGTATTTTAGCTGGGGTTGTGACTGCTGATTAAATTGTGGCCAGTGGGAGAGAAAATGATGTATACAATTTCCAAGTGTTCTTACAAGAAGGATGCATTTTTCTCTTTATGTATTTTTGCTTCCTGTTGTCTGGAATGCAGACACGACAGCTGGAAGTTCAGCAGCCATACTGAAGTAGCTTTGGGAATTGGTACCACGAAGAGCAACAAGATAAGAGGAAGCTACTTGGGAGGCTAAAGTGGGAGGATCACTTGAGCCCAGGTGGTTGAGGCTGCAGTGAACTGTGATCATACCACTGCACTCCAGCCTGGGCAACAGAGCCAGACCCTGTCTCTAAAAAAGAAAAAAAAGATCAAAGGAGACTGGTTCTTCCAACACTGAGGAGTGCCATGAGGACAAGATAACACTGAATATCTTGAGTGTAGGAAATGAACTTCTGTCTTGGTTTTTGTTTTTGTTTTTTAATTGTGACAGAGTCTCACTCTGACTCCCGGGCTGGAGTACAGGGGTGTGATCTCGGCTCGCTGCAACCTCCGCCTCCTGGGTTTAAGCAATCCTCCCACCTCAGCCTTCTGAATAGCTGGGATTACAGGCACATGTCACCACGCCCAGCTAATTTTTGTAGTTTTAGTAGAGACGGGGTTTCGCCAGGTCAGCCAGGCTGGTCTCGAACTCCTGACCTGAAGTTATCTGCCTGCCTTGGCCTCCCACAGTGCTGGGATTATAGGCGTAGGATTATAGGCGTAAGCCAAAGCACCCAGCCTGTCTTGTTTAGGCACTATTAATTTTGGTGTTTTCCATCCCTTGTAGCTAAACCTTACCCTATTCAACCATTCCTAACTCCCTCTCATTCTTTAAGGGTATTAGGCCCTGGGTCCCTGTCCTGTGCTTCACCTCAGCCCCTTCTGTTATCCTGTATCCATGTTGGTGACCATCCAACACTGTGAACTTTTCTACAGTGACCTTCATTCCACCTCAGCCAACTACCCCACTTGGATTTTATCATCACCCAGGACTGTCTCTGTCTCCAGACTTATTTATGCAGGCGTTCTGCTTCCAACCATAAGGCTCTATTTCCAAACTTATTTATTCAGGCATCCTGTTTCCTTCCATCTTTTTTTTTCTTTTTGAGATGGAGTCTCACTCTGTCGCCCAGACTGGAAGGCAGTGGTGTGATCTTGGCTCACTGCAACCTCCACCTCCTGGGTTCAAGGGATTCTCTTGCCTCAGCCTCCCGAGTAGCTGGGATTACAGGCATGCGCCACCACGCCTGGCTAATTTTTGTATTTTTAGTAGAGATGGGGTTTCACCGTGTTGGCCAGGCTGGTCTCAAACTCCTGACTTCAAGTGATCTACCCACCTTGGCCTCCCAAAGTGCTGGGATGACAGGCATGAGCCACCGTGCCCGGCCCTTTCCTTCCATCTTGCTTCTTTATCTACAATACTCTGAGATTTCAATGTAATTAGGACCTCCAATGCAATAATTACTTTACCCTAATCCATTGCTCCATTTCTTCCCTCCTTATCCAGCTTCCAGTAACAGCCTTTCCAAAGCCCCTTCACTTGAGCTATGACCTTTTCATCATACCCATTTGGCAAACTCCCAACCTACCTGCTTCCTCTGAGAAAGCCAGACAGAACAGGTTCTCTCATAAGTTCATCATTAACCACCTTTGGGGAAACAGGGAATGGGAAGGAAAAATGGAGATGAAAGGTTAATAAGAAAGTGCCCAAGTGGGCCTTCAATGATATAATGCGCCATGAACCAAGGGTTATGATGACCTTAGTTCTCTAAAACTGAGGTCTAAAAGCAAAACCATTTACAGCAACGTACACACCTAGTGAACAAGTCCTTCCTTTGGGTTTCAGCTGGGTCAATAGCGCTGCTCAAATCCTTTGTGAGAGGTTATTTCAGCAGCACCACATACCTCCTTTCTCAGCCCAAATCTGTTGTACTTTATTTTTCACCATTGCAATGAATGAACTGTGAACTGTTTTCATTTATTTATTTATTTAGAGATGGAGTCACGCTCTGTTGCCCAGGCTGGAATGCAGTAGCGCAATCTCAGTTCACCACAACCTCCACCTCCCAGGTTCAAGTGATTCTCCTGCCTTAGCCTCCTGAGTAGTTGGGACTACAGGCGCCTGCCACCATGCCTGGCTAATTTTTATATTTTTATTTTATTTTTGAGAGGGAGTCTCACTGTCTCCCAGGTGGAAGTACAGTGGCACGATAATTTTTATATTTTTGGTAGAGACGGGGTTTCACCATGTTAGCCAGGCTGGTCTCAAACTCCTGACCTCGTGATCTGCCCGCCTCGGCCTCCCAAGGTGCTGGGATTATGGGCATGAGCCACTGTGCCCAGCCTAAGCTGTTTATTTGATCAAAGATCTGTCTCCCTATTAGTGTGTAAGTTCCATGATATCAGGAGACACATTTTTGCTCCCCATCTCCTAATATCTACACAGTGCCCCGCGCCTAGTAGGTGCTCAATAAATATATGCTGAACAAATGAATACATATGAATGTTAAAATTAGTAAATATTGACATATTTTTTTTTCCTTTAATACAAGAGTGAATTAGTGGATTGGGTTCATGGGTGGTTGGACTTTGTACTTCTCAAGCATTTCCCCTTTTTACCTCATTTGTCCAGTTAAAGTCATGAGTTCCTGTTATCAGGTCAAGGAGACTGGCCCTGTGTAAGTGGAAAGACAGGGAGAACCAGTAAGTCTCTTTTCTTTCTTTCTTTTTTTTCCCGAGATGGAGTCTTGCTCAGCTGCCCAGGTTGGAGTGCAATAGCGCGATCTTGGCGCACGGCCACCTCTGTCCCTCAGGTTCAAGCGATTCTCCTGCCTCAGCCTCCCAAGTAGCTGGCACTACAGGCAGGCACTACCACGCTCAGCTGGTTTTTGTATTTTTAGTGGAGATGGGGTTTGACCATGTTGGCCAGGATGGTCTTGATCTGTTGACCTCGTGATCTGCCCGCCTCAGCCTCCCAAAGTGCTGGAATTACAGACCTCTGGCTTCTAGGTTCAAGCAATTCTCCTGCCTCAGACTCCTGAGTAGCTGGGATTACAGCCACCGAGTCCAGCCTCTTTTCTTGATTAGTTTAACATCTGCCTGGCTGCCAACAGGGCCCTTCTGTTGTACAGAAAAAGACACAACACTGAACTAAGCACACATTACGTCATCCTCCGTTGCTGGAAGGAGCACTACTGGCCGGGGAGGCAGCAGGCAGGGGCTAAGCACAAAGAAGCAGTGTGGGTGAGAGCAGCCAGATGGGATCACCTGGTGGGGGCCATCTGTTTTAGAGAGGCTCCCCGCCAGGGCACCCTCTGCTCTCCAACAGGCCAGCCTACCAAGGAACTGCGTTCTGAAGTGTGTCTGGGACACTGCTCAAACTGGAACATAGATAATGGAGAAAGACTGGAAAGAAGGGGGATGGGCGTCCGTCAGTGGTGAGCCTGGTGAAGGAATGTCTCCCACGGCAGCTGGGTGGTCAGTATCCCGGGGCCTGGCTAGCATCATGCTCCCAGCACCTGCTGTATGTAAGACCCTGTGGTGGTGGAAACCAAATAAACCTTCTGTCATTGGACACTTGGGAGCAGCAAACAGCCAGATGGTAGAGACCAGAGACCTGCTGCAGTGGAGCCTGGGTCTTGGCGTCTTGTGAGGCTTCAGGAAACCTTTCCGTGTGAGCAGTCCACTAGGAGTGCCTGCAGCATTGGGCCATCCTCCCCCAAGCAGGAAGGCCTTTGTGCAGTTCCCTCTGCCTGGTCAGGCTAGAGGGGCAGCCTGCGACTACAGAACGAGACAAACCTCTATGAGACAGCCCTGCCCATACTGTCACTCAGGGAACAACATTGTCAAGGGCCTCCTCCTGAGGGGCGCACACGAGGGAGATAGACTTGGAACAAGTGACTTCAATCCAGTGCCTTTTAGGGGAAGCTCAGGGTACCGTGGAGCTCATAGCAGGGGATGTGGCCCAGACTTTTGGGATCAGGGAAGGATTCTCGGAGTGAGCTGAGACCTGAAGGATGAGTAGCAGTTTGTTACATGAAGGTGGGTGGCACTCTAAACAACAACATTTGCAAAACCTCAGAGGCGAGAGATACTGTAAGGAGTTAAACAAAGGTGAGTGAGTCTGTCTGGAACATCAAATATAATATAACTGGGAAACAGGACAGGCAAAATCGAAGGCCTAACAGAACAGGAATCTGGACTCGATTCTAAGAGCAATGGAAACCATTTGGAGGGGTTTATACAGCAGATAGACATGAGGAGGTCTGCGTTTTTGAGAAATCACTCTGAGAGGAGGGAGGCAGGAGAGGACATGGGAGTCCATGGATAAAGCTACACAATCTCCAGGCAGAAATTGCTACCCCAGACTAGGGTAGTGGCAGTGGAGATGGCGAGAAGTGGAAGGATTTGAGGGCTATTAGGAGATAGAATCACTATGAACGGCCAGGCGTGGTGGCTCACGCCTGTAATCCCAGCACTTTGGGAGACCAAGGCAGGCAGACCGCAAGGTCAGGAGTTTGAGACCAGCCTGGCTAATATGGTGAAACCCCGTTTCTACTAAAAATACAAAAATTAGCTGGGTGTGGTTGTGCGCGCCTGTAATCCCAGCTACTCAGGAGTCTGAGGCAGGAGAATTGCTTGAACCTAGAAGCCAGAGGTTGCAGTGAGCTGAGATCATACCACTGCACTCCAGCCTGGGCCACAGAATGAGACTGTCTCGGGGGGGAAAAAAATGAATCACCACAAACTGGATGTTGGGGAAGACAGATGGGGAGAGAGGAGCCAGTGATGATGCCCATGCTTCTTGCTTGAACCACTGTGTAGATAATGTCATTACCTGTGATAGGGACATGTCTGGGGGGAAGATGATGTGCTTTGCTTACGACATGTTCAGTTTGAAATGTCAATGAGACATGTAGGTGGGGGTATCCAGGAGGTGGTCAGAAGAGATCCGGGATGGAGATGAATATTTGGGAAGCACTGGAATGTGGATGGGTAAGGTTATCTAGGAGGAGTGTGCAGGGCCTGGTAACCCAGCATTGAAGGGGTTGACAGAAAAAGAGGAAGCTGGCCGGGCATGGTGGCTCACGCCTGTAATCCCAGCACTTTGGGAGGCCAAGGCCGGCGGATCACGAGGTCAGGAAATTGAGACCATCCTGGCTAACACGGTGAGACCCCATCTCTACTAAAAATACAAAAAATTAGCTGGGCGACGTGGCGGGTGCCGGTAGTCCCAGCTACTCCGGAGGCTGAGGCGGGAGAATGACGTGAACCTGGGAGGCAGAGCTTGCAGGGAGCCAAGATCATGCCACTGCACTCCAGCCTGGGCGACAGAGTGAGACTCCGTCTCAAAAAAAAAAAAAAAAAAAGAAAAAGAGGAAGCTGAGAAGGAACGGCCACGACTAACCCAACAGTCTAACCAGTTGAGCGACTTCCCACTGCCGGTGGATCCAAGGCAGCAGAAGGGATAGGAAGCAGGCCTGTTCACCACAACTCCTCTCTCCCCTAGATCATTGCCAAATGCAGTACAACGGCCTTCCCCACTCCCAAAGATTTCACTTGTGGAAAGTTATAGGGAAGTGACCTTGGCTAAATCAAGCAGATGGAAAGAGCTGTACGGGTATGGTGGCTCACGCCTGTAATCCCAGCACTTTGGGAGGCCGAGGCGGGTGGATCACCTGAGGCCGGGAGTTTGAGACCAGCCTGACCAACATGGAGAAACCCCGTCTCTACTAAAAACATAAAAACACGAAATTATCCGGGCGTGGTGGCGCATGCCTGTAATCCCAGCTACTCAGGAAGGTTGAGGCAGAATCACTTGAACCCGGGAGGCAGAGGTTGCGGTGAGCCGAGATGGAGCCATTGCACTCCAGCCTGAGCAACAAGAGTGAAACTCCGTCTCAGAAAAAAAAAAAAAGAAAGAAAGAAAAGAGTTAAATTATGTGGTGCTTTGGAGGCTGGGACTACATGGACTCTTAAGAGGGATGGCACCTTCTAAGAGGGTCCAAAGGAAGAAACAATGGGCACCTCCACTGGGTTTCAGACACAGAGATCGCGGCCTGGGTTGTCGTGGAGGATGAAGCTGCTCCATCTTGGATGCTGATCCGCCGTGTTGTCCTCTGGTTAACCCCTGTTCTGGAATGCCTCTAAGATTGCCACTTCATCTACTGTGACCTTCAATCCTGCTCTTAGGTAGATTCACATAGCATTCTGCGTCTTTCCCTGAGGTGTTGATGTCAGTGGTACCACGCATTTCTACTGAGGCATGTATACCTTTCCCGTCAGGTATATCAGCCCTGGGACTCAGGGGTAACTGGCTAATGGCCACCTGGCTTCTGTTTCTAAGTCACTATTAAATGTTTCTTTCTGAGAAACTGGATACATCAGTCTCTCTTTTTGTTGTTGTTGTTTTTTTGTTTTTGAGATGGAATCTTGCTCTGTCACCCATGTTGGAGTGTAGTGGCGCTATCTCAGCTCACTGCCGCCTCTGCCTCCTGGGTTCAAGTGATTCTTCTGTCTCATGAGTAGCTGGGACTACAGGCGCACACCACCACACCTGGCTACTTTTGTATTTTTAGTAGAGACGGGGTTTCACCACGTTGGCCAGACTGGTCTTGAACTCCTGACCTCAGGTAATCTGCCTGCCTTGGCCTCCCAAAGTGCTCATATTATAGGCGTGTGAGCCACCATTCCCGGCCTCAGTCTCTTTCTTCAGCCTCTTAGCTCCCTTGGCCTTTGGGTAGGTTTGCATAGACTGGTTGTAGATGTGGAAAGTCCTCCTTCCCTTGTCCGTGTTGCGCCTCTGTCATTGTTGAGAACTAGGGGACAGAGGGTAAAGTACCCAATCTCGTGACTTAGCAGCAAAGATCAGAGGCCGTCTGTCCTCTTTGCCCTACTTACAACCCAAACCTTCCAACTCCTTCTTTCTGTCATTGCTGTCTCCATTCTTTTTTTTTTTTTTTTGAGGCAGAGTCTTGTTCTGTTGCCCAGGCTGGATCTCAGATCACTGCAACCTTGGCCTCCCAGGTTCCAGTGATTCTCCTCTCAGCGTCCTGAGTAGCTGGGATTACAGGTGTGCGCCACGACGCCTGGCTAATTTTTGTATTTTTAGTAGAGACGGGGTTTCACCATGTTGTTCTCGAACTCCCGACCTCGTGATCTGCCTGCCTCAGTCTCCCAAAGTGCTGGGATTACAGGCGTAAGCCACTGCGCCTGGCTCATCTTTATTTTCAATATGCATAATATTTTGAGACAGGGTCTCCCTCTGTCACCCAGGCTAGAGTGCAGTGGTATCTGGGCTCACCACAGCTTCAACCTCCCGGCTCAAGCCGTCCTCCCACCTCAGCCTCCCAAGTAGCTGATACCACAGGTATGTACCACTATGCCTGACTTTTTTTTTTTTTTGAGATAGGGTCTCCCTCTGCCACACAGGCTGGAGTGCAGTGGCATGATGTCGACTCACTGCAGCCTCAAGCTCCCAGGCTGAATCAATCCTCCCACCTTAGCCTCCCCAGTAGCTGGGAGGTGCGAGTCACTACGCCCAGCTAATTTTTGTATTTTTTTGGTAGAGATGGGGTTCTGCCATGTTGCCCAGCCTGATCTCGAACTCCTAGGTTCAAGCAATCCTCCCTCCTGGGCCTCCCACAGTGTCGGGTGTTTTCAGTAACCTTTTAACTGAAATTTAGCATTTCCTTTCACTGTGAATTTAGGTAATGAACCACAGTAGTATTAGCAGTATCTGCGGTTTCATCTCAATAGCAGTTACAGATGTGCTTACTTTAGAATGGCTGTGGATCTCTTGAACCATAATTTGTGTGCATCACCAGTTTTTTATTACATTTATTAGGGCTGCTGCTAGATCTAGTTAATATGATAACCAAGAAGTAGACTTGTACTCTATGAAATATCTGGGTTTAATTTTCTTTATTTTTTGAGAAAGAGTCTGGCTCTGCCAACCAGGCTGGAGTGCAATGGCGTGATCTTGGCTCATTACAACCTCCGCCTCCCAGGCTCAAGTCATCCTCCCACCTTGGCCTCCCAAGTAGCTGGCACTACAGGCATATGACATCACGCCCGGTTAATTTTTTTTTTTTTTCTTTTTGTAATAGAGACAGAGTTTCACTTTGTTGTCCAGGCTGGTCTCAAACTCCTGAGCTCAAGCAATCTGCCCACCTAGGCCTCCCAAAGTGCTAGGATTACAGGCGTGAGCCACAGCACCTGGCCCATGCCTGTAATCTCTTTAAGAGGCCAAGGTGGGAGGATGGCTTGAGCCCAGGAGGTTGAGGCTGCAGTCAGCTGTTATCGTGCCACTGCACTCCAGCCTGGGTGACAGAATAAGACCCTGTCTAAAAAAAACAGAAAAAATAACAATAACAATAACATTACATTGAATAGGGGATCATGGGCTTCACAAAACTGCCAAAGCAGTCTGCAGTAGAAAAAAAGACGAAAACCCATGCTTAATAGAAATATTCATTGCCCTAACTCTTCTCAAAGGGATGCCTGACTTTGGGTGTGGTGGTGGCTCTCTGATTTGAGTCCATCTCTTGGTGCCTAAAGGGCACCAAGGTGCCTAAAGGGGAGAGTCTCTGGGACTCTTGTCCCCAAAGCAAACAGCTGCATCAACTGCACTGGATAAGGGAATGTCCCAGGTGTAGAGAATCAATCAGTTGCAGGCCTACTTGCAACCAGTGGGCTGAGAGCCAGCCACACCCTCACATTCTCCTGAGAAAAGTGGCTGCTGGCCATCTCTGTACTGAGATTTGTCCCCTGACACTCATCATCCTAGCCACAGCCAGCTGGACCAGAGATCTCTCTTGTATTTGGGTGGTGGCCTGAGGAGTGGCCAGGCGGGAGAGCCTGCCAAATAGGTACTTGCAGATTGAATGACAACTAATCGACCCAGTTAGATCCTGTCCCTTGGGAAGTTGGGATTTGAACACTTGAGGGAGTCGAGAAGTGGCAGGGCCAGCAGAAGTGACAGGCACACACACACACACACACACACACAAAAAGAGGTGAAGGGAGAAAGGGAAGTGGAGCCAAGCTTGGAGATTTGCCAAGTGAGGGTAGCCTTCTACCCCATTCATCCAGAGGTTTGGCTGAGCACCCCCCAAGAGCCTACAGAATTGTGGAGGGCCGGGGGTCCCCAGCTGCACAGGGCTCATGGCAGAACATGAGACATGCAGACACCCAAAATGAGGAAGCTGGGGGGGCTTTTTCTCAGCCTTCCTGACCTAGCGTGACCTCCTCTGGGCCCATGTAATAGGCCTCCACACCCCCTTATGCCTGGTGCAGGCACCCTGTTAACTTCTATGTCCTTGTAGGTCCGTTTCCAAGGACTCTATCTGCTTGACTGCTCCCAAAGCAGCCACAGCCAGTAATGCCCCTGGAGGGGAACAGGGTTGGAGAGCAGGCTGGCACAAAGCAGGAGGGGGGGACAGAGAGGTCTGTCACTCATCCCAGAGAAGCATCATGGGGTGGACTCCTCTGACCTGGCTCCTTTGGTTTCCCATGGCTGGGCTCCTTCTCTCCCTCTGGGGCCTGTACCGTCCCCGCTCTCTCAAATTCCTCATACAGCAAACTTATTCCACTCTCTTTACCCAGAAATAGGTCAGACTCAACTACATCCATATCTCATTTCTTCCTAACAGCGTTTTGTTTCATTTTTTAGATGGAGTCTTGCTCTGTTGTCCAGGCTGGAGTACAGTGACACAATCTTGGTTCACCGCAGCCTCCACCTCCTGGGTTCAAGCAATTCTCCTGCCTTAGCGTCCCTAGTAACTGGGATTACAGGCGCCTGCCACCACGCTCGGCTAATTTTTGTGTTTTTAGTAGAGATGGGGTTTCATCATGTTGGCCAGGCTAGTCTCGAACTCCTGATCTCATGATCCGCCCCGCCTTGGCCTCCCACTGTGCTGGGATTACAGGCGTGAGCCACCGTGCCCGGCCCCCCTACAGCATTTTAAAGATGAAATGAGACTCAGAGAGGAGTCTGATGACTGTAGTAAGGAATGAGGAGTCAAGCTCCTTAGTGTGTGCTACAAAAACCCTGCACACCTGACCATGTTCGCAGCTCCCTGCCACCCATTCCCATCCTACCCTCTCTTGCCAAATGGATACACTTGCTTTCCCCAAAACATGCCCTCTCATCTCCAAGTTTTTGCTCCTGATGTTCCCCCAGCTAGAATACCCCTAGGATGTCCTACTGAATTGTGAGTCAACCTTTAAGACTCAAAGTGTGGGCCAGGCATGGTGGCTCATCACTTTGAGTCTTATCACTCAATCTCATCACTTTGGGAGGCTCAGGCAGGAGGATCACTTGAGATCAGAAGTCCGAGACCAGCCTGGGCAACACAGTGGGACTCCATTTCTTAAAAAAAAAGAAAAAAAAAAATACAAAAATTACCTGAGCATGGTGGTGCGTGCCTGTAGTCCCAGCTACTCAGGAGGCTGAGGCAGGAGGACGGCTTGAACCCACAAGGTTGAGGCTGTAGTGAGCTATGATTGCACCACCACTATAGTCGAGCCTTGGCAACAGTGAGACCACCTCTCAAAAAAAAAAAAAAAAAAAAAAAAAAGACTCCAAGTGTGCTCCACTGTTCCTTTTACACTTTCAGTGAGGCATCAGGGGCTGTGTCCTAAATGTATCTCCAGCCCTTCACATAGGGCCTGGCAAGGTAAGAGACCAATAAATGCGCACCGTTTGGCTTCATTTCACTAAATCATTAGCGTCCAGAGGTATGGTCAGCACTTGGAACCCTGTGGAATGGCCTCAAGATCAGAATCCTCTTGCCCAATTCTTGGCTGGGAAGCAGGTGACATCTAGAATCCATGAAGGTATGGGTGATCTCCTGGGTTCTGGACATTTGCACTGAGTTTATTCAATCACTCAACAATATATATTAGGTCTGGGCTGAGCACGGTGTCTCACACCTGTAGTAATCCCAGCACTTTGGGAGGCTGAGGCAGGTGGATCACCTGAGGTTGGAAGTTCGAGACTAGCCTAACCAACATGGAAAAACCCCGTTTCTACTAAAAATACAAAATTAGCTCGGCGTGGTGGTGCATGCCTGTAATCCAGCTACTCAGGAGGTTGGGGCAGAAGAATCACTTGAACCCAGGAGGCGGAGGTTGCAGTGAGCCAAGATCATGCCATTGCACTCCAGCCTGGGCAACAAGAGCGAAACTCCATCTCAAAAACAAAACAAAACAAAACAAAACAAAACAATATATATTAGGTCTGTTATGCTTTAAACACTGTGCCAGGTGCTGGGGATCAAAGATGAATAGAGAAATGAACTGGAAGGATAGCGTGAAGCTAAAACTTAAAGAACACAACAAATCTGTAAAAGACAAACAAAAGAGGGTTTAATCTGTGCTTCCGTCCAGGTGTGCCGAGCTGGGGGTGGGGTTGCTCCTGCACAAGAGCATTCCTAAAGCAAAGATTTGAGGGGAATTAGATTTCTAATACCCAGGTTGGGTCTCACTTTCAGGAAGGTGTGAGACCTGAATCCTAAGCTGGACTCATTGTTTCCCTAATTTCCAGCATCGGATCTGTAAATTAGTGGTCTGGGTGGTAGCCGATTCGTCATTCAGAGGCTCAGAACACCGTGAAACTATGCTTTCCTGACTCAAAAGACACAACCTTGACGTGGGCCCTTTGGACAAGCATCTGCCCTCCGCAGGAGGGTCTCAGGTGACCTTCTTGGAAGGTGTGACCACTTGAAAAGGAGGAGGCGGCCAGGCGCGGTGGCTCTCGCCTGTAATTCCAGCACTTAGGGAAGCCGAGGCGGGGGGATCGCTTGAGCCCAGGAGTTTGAGACCAGCTTAGGCAAGATAGGGAGACACCCCCCCACCCCGCCCTGTCTCTACAAATAATTAAAAATTTAGCCGGGTGTGGTGGCGGGAGCAGGAGCCACTCGGGAGGCTGAGGCAGGAGTATCGCTGGAGTCCTGGAGGTGGAGACTGAAGTGAGCCGTGATTGCGCCACTGCATTTCAGCCTGGGCGACAGAGCGAGACCCGTCAATCAGTCAATCAAGGGGAGGCTGGCGGGAGCATGCTTGTGACCACTCAGGGCGACACAGACCCTAACCACAAGCCAGACCCCACCGTCCCGCTCGGCGCCCTTCTAAGAGCGCAGCTTCCGGAGCAACGCCGCTGACCCCCGCCCCCAGGGCCTTGGCGCCGATTGGCCAGCGATAACGCGGGGCGGAACCAAATCTTAAAGGATCCGGGAGCTAAGCTAGACCCGGGTGGTGGTGGCAGCTGCGAAACCCAGGGAGCCGATGCCACGTGACCCAATGTGGGCTTCTTTTAAACCTTTCTAATGTCCATAATCCAGCCTCAGGCCCATGGAGCCCATGAGAGACTGCCCGCTGTTCGGGGGCGCCTTTTCCGCCATCCTCCCCACGGGGGCCATTGACGTAAGGTGAGAAGGCCGGGGCGCCCAGGGGCGGCTGACTGGGTGGGTTGTGGGAAGAGACCGGGGTCAACCAGGGTCTACCTCGCCTCACTCCAGCGACCTCCGACCGGTCCCCGACAATCAAGAAGTTTTCTGCCATCCCGTCACGGACCAGAGCCTGATCGTGGAACTTCTCGAGCTGCAGGCCCACGTGCAGGGCGAAGCGGCTGCGCGGTGAGGGAAGGGCCCCGGGCTGGCCAATGGCAGGGGCGGGGCCGGGGCAGTGGGCGGGACCCGCGGCCGACGGTTAATCTGGGCGGTGAGAACACTCAGGGGCCGGGAGCCAGGCGTGCAACTTAAAGATGCTCCCGGGGAGGCGGCCAGAGATGTCCCTTCCTGACCCCGCTTCCCTACTCCAGGTACCACTTTGAGGATGTTGGTGGCGTGCAGGGGGCTAGGGCTGTCCACGTGGAGTCTGTTCAGCCTCTCAGTTTGGAGAACCTGGCCCTGAGGGGCTGCTGTCAAGAAGCCTGGGTCCTCTCTGGCAAGCAGCAGATAGCTAAGGAAAACCAGCAGGTGAGGGCCCGAGAGTGTGCAATGTCCTGGAAGGGCGGTAGCGGGGGCGCAGAGATCCAGATAAGCATCCTGACTCTGATCCCCTTAGGTAGCAAAGGATGTGACACTTCATCAGGCCTTGCTGAGGCTGCCCCAGTACCAGACTGATCTCTTGCTCACCTTCAATCAGCCCCCGTAAGGAGGAAGGAACGGGCGGGTATCTCATGACTGGGTTCCCAGGAGAATCGGGCTGGGAGGGACAGAACAGGGAGACTCACTGGTGGGATCCTCCCAGGAAGCAGGAGTGGGCCAGAGGTTTGGGGTAACTGATACCCAGGTCCTCTGGAACCGGAATTGGCAATTTCCAAACCTCAGGCCTGGATGATGTTCTCTCTCCATCTGTTTCCCCACCCCAAGCCCTGACAACAGGTCATCTCTTGGCCCTGAAAATCTGTCACCTCCACCCTGGAGCCTGGGTGACTTTGAACAGCTGGTGACCAGTCTGACCCTTCATGATCCCAACATCTTTGGTCCCCAGTGAAGGTGCTGAAGCACTGCATGATGTTGCTGAGAACTTGGGGACTCGGTTCTGTGAGGGGGAAAAGAGGTTGAAAAGAGAGTTTCCTCTCATTTCTTCCCTGTGCATAAACATAAGACAATCCCTCTTCAGAATAAACTTGCTTTATCATCAATATAATCTCTGTGCCTTTGAATCTAACAAGATGCCTGGGTCCCAGACACCTGGGAATTGGGTCTCCCAATTCCCTTTGGTTTTGGAGGGAGGAGTTTAAAGCTGTTCTTGGGAGCAGGAGGGACTCAAGGGTGGCGGTGGTAAGAGGAAGGAAATATACTTTGGGATGACTGGTTCAGTCCTGAGAGAGGGGTGTGAATTACCCAGGGAATGGGTAGGGAAGGTTTAAAGCAACACCCAAGGAAAGAAGGGAAACTCTTGTAGTGATTCAACCCTGAGAACAGATAGGGAGTGGGGTTGGCTGTCCCCCATGGATGGATGAAAGGTCACCTATCAGTAGTCACCAGGACATAGTGGTGGAGGCACAAATGGCCAAGGAGTGCTCATTTGGTGGAGTCTGGGAGAAAGACTGTTATTTAGTGTATGTGTAGTAGAGGGAGCGCAGCTGGTCCCAGAAGAAGAGGGAGAGGATGGTGTGGGGGCCGAGGCGGAAGTAGGAGGCACCTATACCCTTGTACATGCCAAAAATGCCCTCGGTCCGAGCTGTCTGCAGCAGAGCATCCAGTATCCCCCGGTACATGAGGCCCTGAGAGCATGTCAGAGAGGGAGGGAGAGCACAGAGAAGGAGTTTGTCAGAGCCCACCAGGGGCAGCTCCTCCACAGGCTGCATTTCAGGCTATCCCACCTGCACCCACAATCTGCCTCCCCAAACCCCTGCTTCCCTGCCTGCATCCCAGAGCACTTCCTTACCTTGCCCTGTGCATCTGTGGGCTGGTTGTAGAGCCTTGTGCAGGCCACATCAAAGGGTGCCATGGCCAAGACCACTGCAATGCCACTCACCATGGCAGCCACCAGAGCCAACTTCCAGCTCTCAGGAGGAAAGATCTAAGGGGGTAGAGAGGAAGAGCACTGTCAACCCGCCAGCCATTCCACCCCAAGGACAGGACAGTCCCTGCCCTGGGGACACAGATGCTGGTAACTCGGGGAGCTTCCACTGCACCAGTTTTAACAGTGCAAAAACACTGAGGAGGAGGAAGGCCAGGGTACCCTGAAGGCTCAGGTACCCTTTCTGGGAGGAAGTGACAAGAGAACTGTGGGAAGGGTCTAAAGAGTCAGTGACCTCCAAGCCCTCCTGCCACTCCCTCACCTTTGAATGTTGGGCACCATCCCCTCCAGGGCCCAGTGCAGCTTGCCCTCCCCTTCCCCCCTTCCCGAAACAGACCCACCCATTTCCCAGGCAGTACCTCCCACTGGCTCAGGAGGTCCTTGGTGGATGAGAAGGTGCACAGCTGGGTGGAGGAACCGACGATAACTCGGGGCAGGCCGCCCAGAGCCCCACGCCACAACCCCACCAGACCATGTTTCTGGCCAATCTCGGTTAGCGCCTGAAACATGCCCTAGTGTGGGGAAGACCAGGGGGTGGGGTTCAGACAGCCGAGCATCAGGGGCTGCCATCCTAACACTGCCAAGGATGGGTGCTTAATAGGAACCTGTCGTCCAGACAACCAGTTCAATGTGGGCTTAGAGCCAGAATGGGGGCCCTTGGTTGTCTAGCCACCCCATTGTTCCCTCCCTGGGCACCCAAGAACTGGGGCGGGATGCATGGAAGTGAGGGCATTCACTGGTCAGGAGAAACAGGGGCAGAAAATTAGAGGAACTGGAATACATATTGGAAAGAGGCGTTGGGCGTGGTGGCTCACGCCTGTAATCCTAGCACTTTGGGAGGCCAAGGTGGGCGGATCACCTGAGGTCAGGAGTTTGAGACTAGCCTGGCCAACATGGTGAAACCCCATCTCTATTAAAAATACAAAAATTGCCGGGTGCAGCAGCTCACGCCTGTAATCCCAGCACTTTGGGAGGCCGAGGCAGGTGGATCATCAGTTCAGGAGTTCGAGACCAGCCTGACCAACATGGTGAAACCCCGTCTCTACTAAAAATACAAAAATTAGCTGGACGTGGTGGCACATCGCTGTAATCCCAGCTACTCAACAGGCTGCAGCAGGATAATCACTTGAACCCGGCAGGCCGAGGTTGCAGTGAGTGGAGGCTGTGCCACTGCACTCCAGCCTGGGCAACAGAGCGAGACTCTGTCTCAACAAAACAAAACAAAACAAAACAAAACAAAATTTAGCTGGGTGTGGTGGTGCACGCCTGTAGTCCCAGCTACTTGGGAGGCTGAGGCAGGAGAATCGCTTGAACCCAGGAGGCGGAGGTTGCAGGGAGCTGAGATCGTGCCACTGCACTTCAGCCTGGGCAACAGAGCGAGACTCCGTCTAAAAAAAAAAAAAAAAAGGAAAGAGGGTCTGGGTAGACTCCAGGGGCAAAATGGGACAGAACCAATGGGTTGAGCTGGGATTGGAGCTGTTGGGTACAGGCAGAAAGCTAGGGGAAAAGAGAAAGGATGATCAGGGACTTTGGCAGACTTGGGAACTCTCACCTGATGCTTATACTGGTGCCCTACAGCAATTTCTGAGGCTGCCTGTGCCTGCAGATGTGTCTTCACCTGTGAACAAGAGAATATCATAGCCTACGGCCCAGTGGCTGTCCTCCTACCTCAGAACCAAATGTCTGACCCCCTCACATTTCCTCTAGGGTGTTTAGCAATGAATATCCTCTTATTCTGATAATTATTGTTGTTCCTACTTAACAAATTGGTTAACGAAAAGACTCTGTCTCTAGGCTCCAGCTGCGGAGGGATGGATCTCCCAGCACTGTAAGACACCACACCCCCTTCATATCCTTCTTCCCTTGGGGCTAGCAATTGGGGGTGGAGTGGTTGGAGAATGGCAACATTTCCTAAGGCATGTTAGGCGAGACCTGGGTGTCCAGCCTGTCATGCCAGCTCCCATTCCCAGACCGGATCTCCAGCCACCACTTCTATCAGGCTCCCCATCAGACTCTAGGCAAAACTTGCTCTCTAGCCCCCACTCCCCATAAAAGTATCTAGTCGATTTTGGAGAGACCACTGTCCCTGAAACTCAAACTGTGAGAATGGGACCAGACTGCCTCTGCTACAGGATGTACTACTTCCCAGTCTCTTTTGCTCTTAGGAGCACTAAGCAGGGCCTAGTCCTAGCAATAAACAGCTGTGTGACCTTGAGTGGATCACTTCCCCTCTCTGGGCCTCAGGCTCTTGACCCTTCACCTATACCAGATAACTCAAAGGGGCAGAGATTGTTAATTCTGTAATGCCCAGGATCTTCCTGATCCCTACACTCTCTGACGTATGCTAAATTCCTTATCCTCCCCTTCACGAGTCCAACCTATAAAAACAATGCTACCAAATGCTTACTCTCTGCCAGGATTCGCACTAATGCTTCCATGTCTACCGCATTTGTCTCCCTCCATCCTCCCAATAATCACACAAAGGCCACTACAATTATTACCATTTTACAGATGTGGCAACTGAAGCTCACCAACTAGTAATTTTCAAAGCCAGGACTTTAGTTCCAGAAAGGCTGATTCCAAAGCCCATAATCTCTTTTTTTTTTTTTTTGAGACAGAGTCTTGCTCTGTCGTCCAGGCTAGAGTGTAGTGGCGTGATCTCGGCTCACTGCAAGCTCTGCCTCCCGGGTTCACACAATTCTCCTGCCTCAACCTCCTGAGTAGCTGGGACTACAGGGGCCTGCCACCACGTCTGGCTAATTTTTTGTATTTTTTAGTAGAGACGGGATTTCACCGTGTTAGCCAGGACGGTCTGGATCTTCTGACCTCGTGATCTGCCCGCCTTGGCTTCCCAAAGTGCTGGGATCACAGGCATGAGCCACGGTGATCGGCTCCAAAGTCGATAATCTTAATCAATACATTCAATCGTGTCCATCAGATGGGTGTGTATAGGGCAGGTCAGAAGACTCCAAAGCCTACCAGCTCTTTCCCCATGCCTTTCCCTGCTTGCAGTGGGGTAGCACCCTGCCACCTATGCCCTTAGGAAAGACCAGGCTCCTA